GGTCCAAGATGACTGCTTAGTCTCTGAGCCCAGACTGCCTCTGAACTCATTCCAGCCCAGAGCCAATCAAAGTCCAAATGAATTAATATTCATCCAAAAAAAAATTGGCTGATGGTTTTCTATTATTTTTATTTTCTATTTTTGTCTTTTGTCTTCATTCTTTGTTTTCTATCTTTGGATAGATCTTACCTTCATCTCTTTCCCTTTCCCTCTCCCTCTCTCCTCTCCTCCATCCTAAATGAGTTCATTACTATGAGATGAGTTGTCTTTTTATCTGCACACGTTAATTACTAACACACTTCTGTTGCATATTCTGTCCAGTCAACCAAAAACAAGGAAAAGTAATGTTTCAAGTTAACTGAGTTCAAGTAATGACACCATTGCCTTTAGTTTTGACTTAAGTTTCAAATGATTTCAAAGTTTGATTTTTTGCAATTTGTTTGTTATACCTGCTCAGTTCTGCATTGGAGGATCTCTGTACGAGTTTGGATAAATTTTATCCTAAACAGATGGAGAGAGCACTGACTGCAGCCTGGTAGGCAGATCTGCACTTCTGTTGCTGTCAGATCTGGCTATCAGGCTTAATGGGTATTGTTGATAGTACTATTTTGAAGGAGCTTATGCAGTGGAATGTGGGAAAACAGTACTGGGTGGTTTGGGTTGACGGGAACATTAAGTTTATTGCCTTTATCTGCCTCATAGGCCCTCAAACGGAAGCCCGATTTGTTCTTGTCTGAGAGTCTTGATGTGAAAGCAGTATTCCACTGTGGTAAGTACACACAAGGTTTACACAGTTTAGCCACACACACTTATACACTCCTAATCAAAATTTTAAGACCASTTGAAAAATGGCAAAAATTAACATTGCTTCCTGTTAGATCTAAACACGATTATAAGTAGAGCTTCGGAATGCAAAAGGAAGAAATGAGAGTGAGACCCAAAAAAAATTGAGTCAGAATTTTRTTTCAAACAACCATTAAGCTGAAATAAACTGTTCATCAACTGATCAAAGGTTTAATACCACAGCATTTAAAAGCCTAAATCTTTGCAAAAATGTGGATTTGATGTAATTTTTATGTGAGGTATCCGCTCACAACGTGCCATTGCTGCTGAGGTTGGATGCAGTAAGACTGTCATTTTAAACTTCTTAAAAGTTCCTGAGGGTTCTGGAACAAAATAGTTGAGTAGTAGACCCCTAGAGTTGGGTACTGAAACTTGGTTCCAGTATGGCACYGGGGCGAACATCTACGGTAGTTCACAGACCGAAACACAACTCTAACTTTGGTGYCTCAAAGAAAGCTGTTAATTTGCGCCCTCTGGTGTTCACTGTTACCAGTGACAGCCTCGGCACACAATCTCCACGGACTTGGTTCGACTCGGCTCGGTCTCGGCCTAATGCATCTTCAAGCGCGCTCCACAGCCACACTGTCTCAGAACCTYCTGCCCGGTGGTTCTAAGTGGGTAGAAGCGAGTACAGCACRCTTACGGTTTTAACATCAGCAGAATTCTGCCCGTGGATTAACTCTTGGATTGACTGACAGCAAATTTCCTCCTGGGAGAGCTGCTTTTGTTTAGAAATACAAGCGTGCAGCGTGATACAACAGCATGGWGAAAGCAGTGATAAAACTGCTTTTTTGAAAAAGGCAGAACTTGTAAACACTTCCTGGAGAGAGTTGAAGGAGACGAAGCTGAGCAGATAACCGGGAGGTTTCGAACAAACTGGCCACTCACGGTTACACAAGCACTTAGCTAAACAGCACTGTAATAATAAATAAATAAATAAATTAATAAAAGTGAAGTCTGAACGGTAAGACCACAACAGCCTTTTTATTTTATTTTATTTTATTTTTATTATTAACACAACAAAGTCACTGCATATGGTCCGCACATTATCACACCCACTGCGTGGAGA